TTTCACATCCAGACTTTTTGGAGCATTCCCTTAGTAAAGTTGTTTCTCTAATGGGCGCTGAGGAAAAAAGGAAAAGAAAAGGAAATATCTTATTATAAAAATAAAAAAAAAGTTTCTAAATGGATTTTAAACGAGAAAACATGCGAAGAAAAACAAAGTAAATGTCATCTTCAATAAGGAAAGGAAGATAAAACCACGATGTCGTGACCTAAAGCTTCATTTTTTTCTTGAAGCTAAATAATATAAATCCTCCATTCATTTGCAATTTGCATAGGGAATATTTTATAACTTTATTTTTACAAAACACATCAAATTAAATAATGTAATGTTCATTATTATAAAAATTTTAACAATTTTATTTATATATCTTTCTTTCTTTTTCCGCAATTAAATTTAGTCTTGAATGTACATATGTAAATTTAATCGTTTAAAATTGATTTAATGCTATTCATCCATGGTTTTCCCGAGAATCATTAAATACGTCTGCAGGAAATATTAAATAAAACACATTAAATTCCCAAATAATTATTTATACCAAAATACTTTGTGGTAAAAAAATAGACTTTTAAATATGTATTATATTTTTTTCAAAGGAAGAGGGATAAAATTATATTTATTAAGTTATTTCCATACGTTCTCGGGAAAAAATTGTCGAAGAAATTAATTTTTTCCTTAATATAATATTTAATATTTCAAATATATATTTTGCGTAATTATAAGCTGCGACGTTGAGACGATTTTAAAGTCCAACTCTTTTTGTTCTAATGCAAATTCTGGATAGATGCAAATAGAATGCAAATAGAAATACATTAATTCTGAATAAATAAAAATGTATTGAGTACCCGATATCTCAGATAATACTACCGATGAGAATCAATTCAAGATTCACTAATAAAAAACCCCATGACAAATGTGAATCAAAGTAAAAATAACATCTATGACAAGTGATTCAAAGTAAAAATAACATCTATGACAAGTGATTCAAATGTCTTTAAAATAGAAATAGCTGGGATAGCGCCATTGCTCCATTAAGTTTATGTTATAATGCATATCTCAGATACAGATTTCCAAAGCTTCACCATCATACATAAGTGGTGGAACGCTTTGTCAAATTTAAGATAGAAATATTTTGCCATGTGTGAGGTGCTAAATTAAAAGACGACATCAATAGGTCAATTTTAGGATCGGTAGGGTAACTTAACAAGCAATGCTAAATAACAGGACCATCTATATTGTTAAGAATCCGAAATGTAAGAGTACGAGGGCTATTTTTAAAATAAGGTCCGTTGGCGCATGTAGTTCCCTAGTTCGCACGTACGTCGTAATGAGTCTCTGCCTCACTGCCCAGCATTCTTTGTGAACATACTAGCGCCATTTCCATCTTTATATCAGTCGTGTAAGATTCGCTGTGCGTCTTTAAAATATTTAAGGTGTTGAAAGGTCCACCAAGTGTGAAATACGGTCTGTTATCCGTTTCTTGGCCTGCGAGAAACATGTCGGCTGCAGACATTCATCGCCAGATAACAGAAGTTTATGGCACAGAAACAATGAGTGACAGCAGAGTTCGAAAATGTGTCAGGAAGTTTAAAGATGTGTAAACAAACGTCCATGACGAAGAACGTTCAGGCCGGCCCTCTGTAATCACTGATGATTTGATGCAAGCAGTTGAAACAAAAATTCGTGAGAACAGGAGATACACGATAACCACTCTTTCATATTGGAATTTCCCGACGTTTCTCGGTTGGTGGTGTACAAAATTGTGACTGAAGACCTCAAATTTAAGACATTGTTTTCTTGGGGGGGGAGGATACCCAGACTACTCACAACGGAACACAAAGAGAAGAGGTTTGCCATTTCATTTGACTTTTTGATTCGTTTCGAGGAAGAAGGGGATGACATGTTGTGTCAAATTGTTACTGGAGATGAAACATGGATATCCCTTATCACCTCGGAATCAAAGCAACAGTTGATGGAATAGCGACACACATCCTTTCCCGTCAAGGTCCAAAACAAAATAACGCTGTGAAAGCGCAAGATTATGTCAGCAGTGTTCTGAGACCTGCACGGTGTTTTGCTCGTGGATTTAATGCCACAAGAAACAACGATCAACTCAGGTGCCTACTGCACAACTCTACGGAAGCTCCGAAGAGTAATGTAAAACAAACGGCGCGGCATGCTGTGAAAGAGTGTTTTGCTCCTACACAATAACTCAAGGCCTCGATCGACTCGGGAGTTAATCGAATCTTTTGGCTGGGAGATTTTAAATCATGCACCATACAGCCCCGATCTTGCTCCGAACGATTTCCTCCTTTTCCGTTATCTCAAACACAGTCTTGGTGCGAAACGTTTCAGTGACAACGAAGAAGTGAAAGCGGCCGTGAACTCTTGGCTATCCAACCAGGCGGCAGACTATTTTAAAGAGGGTTCTAAAACTTAATTCTAAGGTATGATAAGTGCATTTATAAACTCGGCAACTTTGTAGAAAAATTGGTAAAAGTATGCACAATCCTAAAATAAAGGGTTTTTGAAACAAAATATTGTCGTTATTTTTTTTTAAACAAACGGATCTTACTTAAAAAAAAAACAACCCTCGTATGTTTACTGTTTATTCAGTTTTGTTCATTAAAGATGAAAAAAAGAGAGAATTTAGAATGAAATTATGAAATATTGACAATTTTCCAAAAAATGTGTTTCTCGAGCTTTTTGCACGAATAATAATGATGTATTTACAGGCTTTAATTTTTTTTCTAACGCCTTATATCCCAAACTTCACATTTAAATCAATAATACCGTGATATTGGTAGATTAAATAATTATGAAAAGAAATTCACAGAATATAGCGAAATGTCTTCATTTCTCAAAACCTTAAGTGTGATGAGAGAATCGAAACTATTTTTTTATGTGAGAAATTATTTTGTCATTTTAGTTTAGCTGTGCAAAATACAATTTTTTATACAGTGAACAAAAATGAAAAGCAAATAATTTCGGTCTATCTTAATGTACATATTTTTGAATATATCATTGATAACACTTAAAAATCATGGCAAGTTTTATACATAATCATGAATACAAATATCAAATGATTTACTCCTGCCGATGTAGTAACTTTTGACTATATCTATAACTGTACTCATTATGCTGTAAATGTGGTTATTGTAAATAAACACATTTTTATGCTTGATATTAACCCATTGAATTAAATGGTTTTATTTTAATTAAAAATATTGCTGAAAACACAGTCGAAACTAACTGGCCGAGTGGTAGCGTACCGTGATTCCACGCCACAGGTTAGAAATTAAAACACAGATCTGGCCAAAGTCTACTCATCCTTTCATCCCTTCTGTGGGTCGATAAATGAGCACCAAGCTTGCATGAGAACTAAAAACTGAGGTCTCGTGTCATACTGATTACCTGACCGGAATATCTGCTCAAGCATCTCAGTGCCCAAGGTCACGAAAACTGTGATGAACACTGTTCATGAGTGTCACGAGTTTTAAATAATTTGACGGACCAAGTCTTTCGACTAAAATTTTAATAAAAACAACATAAAAGTAACGTAAGTTATTGTGGGTTTCGAAGTAAAAGCAGTTATTACCCTCGTCAGTGATTGTCAACAGTCATTCAGCTTCTGCCGAATGTTACATACGGATGGAAAGTGGCGCTCGCAGGCGTCATACACGCAGTCGTCATACAAGCAAGCGTCAAGAGCTCAGGCGTCAACAGGCACAGTAGGCCTTGGCCACCCCATGTGGTGTTATACCACTGAGTTTTAGTTTTAAAACACTGTTATAATGCAATAATATTAACAAACGTTTTACTTTAAAAGAAACCAAGTAATATAAAAAAAATTAAAGCCAATTCCTACTTCAGATAACAAAGTAAATTTTTATTTTGGTTACTTTTTTATTAAAATAATTACAATTAATATAAATATATATATACATAAAAGTGAGTGTGAGTGAGTGAATATTAACCTCGCACTGTTAAACTACATGAGGGCTTTTGGTAACGGACCTCGTAATTTTGAACCATGGTCAAGTGACGGGGAAGACATCTGAGCTGGTATATACATAAGACAGGATCACAATATTATGTGGCAAAACACCTTTTAGAATTACACTAAAAGCTTTTTAACCACATTAAATTTGTATTTACATTTTTAACTTAAATTGAATATAATAGGTAAGAATTTATATTAAAACCAGTGTAAAAGGCATACAGATGTCTTACTAGCACATGATTATTCAGGTTAAGTTAAATCTCCATCACAATTTTAACAACAGCTATTTTATCCAATCGTGCTGCCATCTACAGGAATAATATTGACTGTAAAATACATATCTTTTTTCTACAATTAATTAATTAAATCTAATTAATGAATTAATACTTGAAATAATTGTATTAACATCAATTGTAATCCACTACAAGTTTAAAAAAATGTATTTGAACTTTAGTGGATGAATAAAAATTATTTTATTAACGTTTTAAAATTTGAACATGGTGTATAAATAAATATATTATATATAGGGAGAGTGTGAACTAATAGTAGGAACTGAAAAATATACGGTGTGCTAAATAAAAATTCTTAAAAACAAATAAATAAATAACGTCATTTTATCTTAAAATTTCACTTTGTTGTATCAAAATATCTTGAACTCAAGTCTACTTAACAGTGATGTTTTCCTACAAATCTCTTATGTAACCAAAAACAAGTAGTATATAAAAAAAATCTATTCCTAATTAGGTCAACAAAGAAAAAATTTATTTCAGTCACTTTTTATTAAACACTTAAAATTAATATAAATATATGTCTATACATATGAGACAAAATCACAATATTAAGTGACAAAATAGAAAGCGATTTTCCTTGCAATTTTCCATTTTCCTTTCGATATATAGTGTAGGACTATTTTTTTTATAACTATTTATTCCTTCATTAAATTTAATTATTCTAATAAAATAGTATAGTAAAAAAGAAATCACAGTCTCAGAAACTAAGCCATTCTAGGTGGAATTCAAACCCACTATCATTGGAATAGAAGTCCAACGAGGTATCCATTGCGCTACAAACACACAACAAAAGAGTTTCCTTTCTATATATGCTTTTCAACTATTATTTTTGTTTCTTAATAATTATTAATTTTTTAATTAAATTAATGAACTAATATTTGAAAAAAATGTATTAACATCAAATGTTATCCACTACAAGTTTTAAAAAATGTATTTCAACTTGAATGGATGAATAGAAAGTATTTTATTAAAAATTGAAAATTTGACGAAGATATATAAATAATTATATATAGGTAGAGTGTGAATTAATAGTTGGAAATGAGAGAAAAAAATACGTGTTAAGTTATCGGACTACGTTCGGAACCGTGATTCAAAAAAAGCACATTAATGGATACTTTTTATGATATTTAGTGTCACTTAGATTAGAATACATGTATAAAATTGTTTTAAGGATATTTTAACAAAAAACATTATTTAAATACAATATTTTGGCAAAAAATTACCTTAGAATAACCTTTTTTCAAAATACTCTCCTGGTCTTAAAAATGCTTTTACTATTATAATATTTTGCCTGTATATAGCTCAGACCTCTGTCCAGAGGCTCAACTGTGACTTTTGAAAAACTCACTTTATTTTCACAGTTACAACCAACTGAAATAATTATCGGTGTTTTTTTCTTAAAATTTCTTCCCTCTGCTGTCGTAAAACATGGATAAACCCACTTCTAAGTTATATATTTCAAAAATTCTAGTTGAGCCTTTGTATAGATGTCTGAGCTATATACAGGCAAAATATTATTATAATAGTAACATTTTTCCCAAAAGGAGAACATTTTGAAAATTGGTCATTCTATGTTCCTTTTTTGTCAAAATACTGTACTTAAATAATTTTTTACTGCAATAATATTCTTAAAACAATTTTATATACATTTTCTAATCTAAGTGACACTAAGTACCATAAATATGATCCATTTATACGCTTTTGCAAAATCACGATTCCGAACGTAGTTGGATACCTTAAATTAAATTTCTAAAAAAAAAATAACATCATTTTATCAAAAAGTTTCACATTTTTGTATCAAAATATCTTGAAACTCGAATCTACTGAACACTCATAGTTTCCTCTTATATAACCAAAAATAATGCGTAACCACTTCTTTTCAGAAACAGATTATTCTAAGCCATCTTCTAATCCACACTAGCACCGTTCTTCTCTTACACAACTTAGCAGTTCATAACGCGAAGGTAATATTAAGCTTTTCATCTCATTGCGCATCGAGAATCGATTCATACCGAGTCCCCAAAGGGAGAAAGCCTAAATCAGAAGTAGGATTCGGTAACTTCTCTCTCCAGAACCGAAAGGCAATGGAAATATATGCAGACATTTATACGACATTTTATAGCTCGGTAGCGAACCGAAGTATT